TCTATATATATAAAAGGCAAAGCCCTCACTGACTCACTCACTCACTCACTCATCACTAATTCTCCCACTTCCCATTTAACTAGGAGGCTGAAATTTGGTACACTGATTCTTTAGGCATTAAATAGGAAAACTAAGTTGTTTTTATCCTGATCGGACTCTTGGGCTCCGCCCCAGTGGCTCTGGAGTTTCCCATGTTAACCGTATGATTTTTCATATTTAAAAGGAATAAATGAATCTTAACAGCTGTTTCAATTAAACAAGTTGGTTCTATTTTATGATGTTCAATAGCATTTTAGTTACAAGGATTACCAGCAGGGTGCAGCACTATTATTTTTTTAATTCATGACAACAGCTAATTTGCAACCAAAAGGTGAGTGAGCGTAGCGAACGAACTTCAACCTGGAGGCGAGTTAGCGTAGCAAACGAGCTAACCTGACGGCAAGTGAGCGCAGCGAACGAGCTCCAACCTAAAGGTGAGTGAGCGTAGCGAACGAGCTCCAACCTAAAGATGAGTGAGCGTATAGCGAACGAACTTCAACCAGGACGTGTGAGCGCAGCGAGCGAGCTCCAACCTAAAGGTGAGTGAGCGTAGCGAACGAACTTCAACCAGGACGTGATTGAGCCATGCGAACGAGCTCACGTATGAAGTTAAACGGGGCAAAGCCCGCGGGTACAGCTAGTATCTATATATATAAAAGGCAAAGCCCTCACTGACTGACTCACTCATCACTAATTCTCCCACTTCCCATTTACCTAGGAGGCTGAAATTTGGTACACTGATTCTTTAGGCATTAAATAGGAAAACTAAGTTGTTTTTATTCTGATCGGACTCTCGGGCTCCGCCCCAGTGGCTTTGGAGTTTCCCATGTTAACCTTATGAGTACTCATATTTTAATGGAATAAATGAATCTTAACAGCTGTTTCAATTAAACAAGTTGGTTCTGTTCTATGATGTGCAATAGCATTAAAGATACGAGGATTACCAACAGGGTGCAGCACTATTTTTTTTTTATTTATGACAACAGCTAATTTGCAACCAAAAGGTGAGTGAGCGTAGCGAACGAACTTCAACCTGGAGGCGAGTTAGCGTAGCGGACGAGCTAACCTCAAGGCAAGTGAGCGCAGCGAACGAGCTCCAACCTAAAGGTGAGTGAGCGTAGCGAACAAACTTTAACCAGGACGTGATTGAGACATTCGAACGAGCTCACTTATGAAGTAAAACGGGGCAAAGCCCGCGGGTACAGCTAGTCTATATATAAAGCCAAAAGTACCCATGAACTTTTGAGAAAACTATAAGTCACACCCCCATAAACCATATACTTAAAATGTTCGTCATGACGAGAAACCTTGCGCAAAACTATCCATTATTTCATAAATTTCCCTTTAAGGTCGTAATTCCTTTCTAAAGGGAACTTTCCATATACCTAATGTTAAAATACCTCAGCTGTACTTATTTGTTTGGTATTACTGTATTCTGTTTTGTTTATTTCAGACCAACCTAACCAATCAATAATGTTATTAATACTTATGAAGTCAAACGGGGTGAAGCCCTAGGGTAACAGCTGGTATCAATCTATTTAATTTATTGTTTACTTTGTTGAATACTAAATAAATAACAAATTACATTATTAACAAACCCCTTTATATCTGCAATCAGATTGTTTATCTTTTGTGACGCAAAATTCTATTACTTTATTTTTAAATGTTTGCTTGTATAAAGAATCTCTTGGGAGCATAACCTGTACCTCTTAACCTCTGCTCTTCGAACTGTCAAATTTAAGTATTTACAGCTGACTTAAATTAATTGACATATTTACATTCTTTCAAAATGTAAACATGGAAAATTTGGAAGCCCATGGGACGTAGCCCAAGGGAAATATGAAAATTTAAATGATATAATATTGCATTGTCATCCATTTGTGAGCTATGTTTCAAATTTCAAGTCTCTAGCTCATCGGGAACTTCATTTAAAATTGATATCAAAATTTGTAGGAAAGCGACTAGCGAGCTAATAAAAACAAACCCATGGGGCGTAGCCCAAGGGAAATATGAAAATTAAATTATATAATATTGCATTGTCATCCATTTGTGAAATAGGTTTCAAGTTTCAAGCCTCTAGCTAATCGGGAAGTGTCAAAATTTGCAAGAAAGCGAGTTAATAAAAACAAGCCCATGGGGCGTAACCCAAGGGAAATATGAAAATTAAATGATATAATATTGCATTGTCATCCATTTGTGAGCTATGTTTCAAGTTTCAAGTCTATAGCTCATCGGGAACTTAGTATAAAATTGATTGCAAAATTTGTACCGGACAAGAAAGCGAGCTAATAAAAAGTTTAAACAAAATAATAGTGCTGCACCCTGTTGGTAAACCTATTAACTTCTTAATGCTATTGAACATCACAGAATCAAATTGTTTAGTTGAAACAGCTGTTAAAATTCTTTAATTCCATTTAAATATAAGTACTTACATAAGGTTAACATGGGGAAACTCCACAGCCACTGGGGCGGAGCCGATTGGACGGATCATGAAATCGATGGTGTATAAACCTATTCCATGAAATTCTACACGTATGTACCAAGTTTCGTGGCAATCGGTCCAACTGTGTCCGAGCTCACAACGTTCAAAAATATATATATATACAAACTTCTTGTTTGACATAAGATGTGTTTTAAAAATACAAATAATGTGCTTTCAAAAGTGATGAAAAATTGTAAAAATATCTTATGCTAAAGGGATGGCTCATGCCTAAATGTTAACGCCTAGGATGTCAAAAACCAGTAGTTGGCCGAGAAAATCCCGCAATTGTAGCGACTCCCACAACTGTGATCATAAATTGTGTTACTGAGGCTTTGCTGCAAAAAACTATTTTTCCTAAAATGGCTATATTATAATAACCTTATCAAACTAATTCAAGGTTAAATTCAAAATTACATGGTAAACTAGATGTCTTTCAATTTTAGGAGATCTTGCTTCTAAACAATGCTATCAGAACATTACAATTTATAAGAAAACTTGGAAATTTACAACAAAAACAAAGTTTAATTTAATGTTTTCTACAAGTGCCTGGACTTTTCTTTGTTATATATTTTTTATTGTCTTATTATTCAAAATTAGCCTAATTAATAAAATAGTGACAACAATACAGTTAAAACTCAACATAGGCTGTCATTAAAGATTTTCTTCTGACCCCCAACGGGCCGTCCCCCAAACGGTATACCAAATGTGGTTGTGATATCGTTTGTCGTTTAAAAGTTATAAAGTCGTCCTAAGACTTAATGGTCACCCTGTATAATTCCTGTCACAATCGCGACAAGGTCATTTTTGAATTTAGTTATGCAGCTAATATTTTTGAATCTATTTGGTAGACTATTGTAAAGCCTCAGACTGATATAGTAGGGTGACTTTTCGTACAGACTAAAAAAGTCTTTAAGAATAAAAAAAAAATTATGTTTGTTGGTCGAGTAATACAGTAGATAAATGAACGATGATGCTTGATGGCAAATCTGTGCGTGCATACCTTTAATTTAATACCAAAATTGTGAAAATCGGTGGGGTAGAAGAGCCAAACCGACTCGGAAAAGAAAAACTGATAATTTTTAATATAGATTTCAAAAATCTCTGAAGATTCTGAATCAAATTGTTGAGTCTGTCTGTAAAAAGATGACTCGCCTTTAAGTACCTAACAAGTCTGTGAATGATTGACAGTAGACCATTGCACAGGTAGTAGCCATTTGAAATATTTTGTAAATCCACCATTCCAAATGTTTTGAGGGGGTGGAAATTTTAAAATGTCGCTTTCGTGAGTTTTCCATCAGGGTTGGAGCGTTAAAAGTACATATAACTTACATGTCCGAAAAAATATAAATAATTAAAAACGTGTCCCAAATATAAACAATTTGCAGAAGTTAGAACTATTTAGCGTTTTGGGGGGTGAAGGGGGCAATTTTTGGAAACGCCTAAGAGTGTTTTGTATCAAATTTAATTTCTGATTCTGAAAATTTCTTAAAAATTTTGCTAACTCTTTTCCTTGGCTGTTTGGGACTAAGACAAACATCAAGTCTCTAGCTTGTTTTTAAATGGTTCTGATGTCCAATCCAAAGTCAGAAACTTTCCTACCAAACTTTCCTAACTTAACTACCAAATTTAAAGTCTCTAGCACGTTTCTAAACCTTCAGATGAGCACACCAAAGTTGGCCACTTTTAATGTTATTCCCCATAAGAATAACATGGGGGGGAAATTCGAGATTTCGGGGGGTTAAAATTTTAAAATGTCACTTTTCATAATTATCCTGGGGGTTTGGGCCCTAGACCTACAAGCGTGCCAAATTTCAACTCCCTAGCACCTCTAGAAGTGCTCAAACATTTGTATACCTGAGTCAGTTGCACATCTATAGTATTTAGAGACACCATAGTATGTCATATATCAGTCCCAGATCCGGGGTTTGCATGTGATGTGCAATGGGCCCGAGAGATGATTGCGTATCTTTCCATCTACCTTCTGAGGGAATCTTTCTCTTCCATTTGCACCCAACAATCCTAAAACAAATGTCTTGCGGGCCCATTCATTAAAGGGGCCCTGATATTAGGCCTACCTACTATGTAATTTGACTGAATTTTGTTTAGGAATTGAAATTAATTTAATTATGATTCAGTTTGAAATTAGTTGTGTTTTAACTGCTGATCATCAATAACTCGTTGGGGGGGGGGGGGGGGGGCACTTAAGTAATTTCATATCCAGGGCACTTCAAACCTGGCTACACAAAGCCCTTTACTTATGCATTTAAGGGGTATTTCTATGAGGAATTTACATTATTTTATTCTCTCTGACTGAAGCATGATGATTACCTTAATTACAGTTTAGGACCTACTTGCGTGGTAATTTTGTTGTATATTACCACACGTTGGCAACTAGACTATATTAGCATAAAAAGTCCAGTTTAGGGGCTACAATGAATTTCAAACCTATACTCCATCCTAATTTTAAATATTTTTTCAGCACCCGTTTATTGTGGACCTGATGTATGCTTTTCAAACGGGTGGCAAACTTTACCTCATACTTGAATACCTCAGTGGGGGTGAGTTGTTCATGCATCTAGAGAGGGAAGGAATCTTTCTTGAGGACACTGCATGGTGAGTGCAATCCAACTAATTTGTCCCGAGTATACTGATTGTCTTACTTTTGTCACATGTTCAAAGGGTAATTTACAGGCATGCCCTCTGTAGAGAACACTGGAATATTCTTTATTGTGTATAAGTTACCCCTGTTGCAGCAAACCTATAGACTAAGCAAATTTCAATTTGTCTGATTTAATTTCAACTGGAATATTTCCATATACAAGTTAAATTCCCCATTTAAATAACATAAGATTTATTAAGTACTTAGGTTTGTTGCTACAGTAAAGGAAAAGGTGTATTTGGTAAAACGTCAACAGTATAGGATGAAGTAAATAAATTTGACAAATTTTAACAAAATATATCCATAAACAATTAGTAAAATAACAGTTTTCTTTTTTTAACTTGGGAATTTTAAATGTAGGCTACAGGTTTTTTTTTTCTCCGTAAACTTTGTAAATAATCTTTTAGTACAACAATGACTTAATATACAAAATTGTTTGTTTCTAAAGCTCCACAAAATGGCTGTAATGAAAAATGGGCATTACCATGTTTTATGAGTAGACATTTGAAAAAAAAGTTTTTGAAAAACGTCAAAACCCCACAATGTTTCCCTTAAATCTCCTTAAAAAATCTTTCCGTGCCACCAATTATTCAAATTGGTTGGTCAATCAGATAAATTTAAATTAACCATTCGAATTACAAAGAGTTAATTTTAGTAATATGTATATGTATGGTTTCTTTTATAATTTTGTATGATGCGGTCAAGCAGCTCCAACTTTGACATAGTGTTAGGCAGAAAAAATTTAAGTTTCACGTTTAACAAATGAAGATAAGTATCCGATATGAACTGAAAATAAACACTCTTCTAGTCTAGGATATTACCCTTACATGGTTGTTTTTCTTCCCAAAGATGCATTTGTCCCATCAATTCAGTTCTTATATTTTTAAATCATAGAAAACATACTCTAATGGATTTGAAATGTTATTCTACCATTTTCTATTGTTGCGATCACTTCTTTTTTCCACAATCAAAAGAGACTTTTATTTATGTTAAGGCAGTCATGGTTCCACACAACAAACTCTGCCAACCAGACGTTTACTGCTCAACCCAACACCAAAGCTAAACTGTGTTTTATCGATGTGGAATGTAAAGTCCTGTCCCTTCAAATTATAGAGATTTCTGCAAATGAAACTTTGAATTACTGTGTGTTCCAAATCAGGCCTCCTGCTTAACTCTGAAATAGCGATTGTATCAAAATGTATATTCTAACCCTTAAATATCAAGAGATTCTCTACGGGCTGAGCTTAAGTTTTGATCCATCAAATGTTTGAATTACCAAGAACAGACTGTGATAGCTTCTTTCCTTATAGGGAAATTTGCTAAAATGGATTTGATTGCATTTGTTGAATAAAAAAATTTTGTTTAGAAACAATATAAATATGAGAATTACAACTTTAAAAGTAAAATAGCATTAAAAACCATGTAGAAAAACAGTTTTAAAAATTAAAAAGGAGGAATTCATTCCAGTAAGAACTGATGGTAAAAACCTTAAGTAGGTGCACATTGCAAGGAATATGATTGTTTGTGACGTAAAATTCTAGGGGGTGAATAAACACAAAGTATTCACAAAGACAGGCTAGGCCTGTCCTTAGAATCAGCCACACTCAATTTTTTTCCCCGGAGTGCACAGATGGAGCCGAGAATATCAAGGGGTCAATATGAAGCTGTTAACAGTTTTTTTTTTTTTTTTTGCACAGACTAAATTTATTAAATTTAATCAAAGGCTTAGAGCTCTAGAAGCGCTCAGTAAGTCCTGCAGACGCTCAGGGGGAGCTATATCATTCTCACCTTCTTTAAAGTGGTTTTGAAAATTTTGCCTAACTTTTAGACCGACTGTGTAGGAGTAGGACACATGAGTATTCTATCCTAACCAAAGCGATAAAACTGAAGTTTGAGAAGGGCTATTGTAAAGTAAATTAATGTTCAGCGATTAAATGAACAAAATATAATATAACAAATCCCTACAGAGTCGTAAAAGAAGTTGATGAAAAGGTTACAAAAACTTCAAATTCATTATAACGGAACTTTTGCTTTGTTTCCCACAAGTTTCACGGACTTTGTTATTTGAAATCGTCACACAACAAGGCCAAAGCTCCGTTATCGTGAATCGGCAGTTGCGAACATTTTCATCAACTTTAGAGACCAGTTCATCAGTCACAATGCTCGGGGGTCCCAGGGCTAGAGATATACAAGGGCTGGCTCACTCCTTTGATGTTAGCGGTCGCCGCCTGATCCTACTTCCCCTCCCCTGCCCCTCCTCAGTGACGTAGCGGAGATACATCGGCGCGAGGCGCGACGGTAGCCTAGCACGGCAGTGCATATGTCGCCCGGCATCCACGCGCATATTAATAAATGTGTTTATAATAATGTAGTTTTATAGTGTGATTTTTAAAGCGGGTTTCGTTAACACTCCAACTTGCAATGGGCAAACTCTGTAGTGGCAAGGCATTTTTGGCGATTTTGCAGTCATATTTTCGAAAATTCATATAAACTAAACCAACAGATCAAACCTATGAACCGTATTTATTATTTCCAACTTGAAGTGTTCGTAATGAAATGAAGAATTTGAAAATGGCAACGAAATAAATATTAAAAATATTGTAGGAAATATTGTCAGTAGGTAGAAAAATTGCTGCATGAACCAAAAATGTTTCATAAGATATACAAATTGTTTGGAATTTATTTCCCTTCATGGAAATGTAAAAAGATTCCAATTACCATTTATACAAAGTTATGGCCCAAAAACAATAAAATGACAAGTTTCACGATTTTGCACAACAAATTTCAAATAAAAACCAAATAAATGTATTATCAAGAGATAAAGTAAAAGTAAACATTTTTAGGCAATAATATTGGAGATCAAATGAAGTAAGAATTGTTTATGTATAGGCCTACTGATCATTTCAATAGATGTTTATGACTTTTAATAAATGTTTATATTTGTCTAGAAAAACATTTTGTTTTTCACACGTATATATTATTTTAAAACCCCAAACCAACTATATAAAATGAAAGTAAACTTATTCCCCTACTTGAATATACATAGTTATAAAGGCAAATATACAAAAATAAATATTTTATAGTTTTTTTCTATAAAATGCTGCTGTGCCTTTTTTATTTGGCGATTAAATCGTTTGTTAATTATGACGAAATGTTTCAAAAACGGGCTAAATGTAATGTCCCAGACCTCAAATTAAGTAAGTATATCCACATAAAACAGTTTATAAACTAAATAAGTACAATTTTTACAACTAATAAATACTATTAAAGTGATAAAGTCAAACCCGCGATATTCGTTGTTGGTAAACAGTCAATGAAGTTCACAAAAACTGGCTAAAAAATAGTGTCTCAAGTTTCTAAAAGCAATGTCACATTACACTCGAGGCACAATAAATAATATCGTAACTAAACATTTACAACGTATAATCACGATGTAAACTGATAAAGTAAAATCACACCAAATCTCGACTTTTTAGTTATTGGTCAACAGAGATTGAGGTTAGTTAGTCAGGCAACTTAATGTATTTTTGCAACTATATGCTATTTTTATTTTAATGTATTGAAATATGTAGGGCCTATAATAAAATGTAATTGATTAATTGAAATTATTTTCCTTAATGTAAAAGTTACAAAATACTAAGTATAGGTAATGTATTTTTATACAACCTCAATGTATTTTATATAACCTCAATGAATCCTAAAAGGTATGAATAAGTAATAAATAAATACAATTAATAATCCATACATTAAGATACATTCGAGCAATACGAACACAGATATTACACAGTAACTTTAATGCATTGGATCAATAACTACAGTAATCTTAGCCATCGCTTTACATTCCACTCCCATCCTTAAATATCTACTAAAGTTAATTTTTTACTTATTAAAATTGATATTATACGTAATCCTATTTGAAAGTCAATTACTTTTATAAAATACATTAATACCTAATAAAAAATGTCCAACATAGAGCTTAATAAACGCCAAATGTGTGGTAATACCAGAGCTCACACAGGCAAAGATATACGGTGCCGGGAGCCCGAGGTATCGCCGTGACGTCACAGCGGCGGAGTGGTGGGGAGCCACCTGGCATCACTTTCTGAGCTCGCGTGGCCTAGCCCTTGTATATCTCTAGCCCTGCGTGGGTCCGCTCTTCGCTTCGTCAGTTCGGCCATTTTAAAACTGAATGTACCATTTTCACACAGAACTTTCATTCATTACGTTGTTTCTGTAAACTTCACACACTTGGCGATAAATGTCTATCGGTTTTAAGTTTTTTGTCAACAAAAACCGTATCACTGACTGCACCTCACAACTGGTGGGATTTTCAATCGCAGCGCACATCTTCAGTTAAAATTGCAACAAAAAAACAGGCCGCACGAAGATGTTCCTGTTGTCATGGCTGGGCGCCGACCGAGTTAACAAGTGCACACGCACCAAAATGTACGAGAACGGCGCGCGCTTAGCAGCATCAGAAAGAAACGTTCCTTACTTTCTGAATAGCCCTCGTATTATAATTTCTACAAAAATATACAACATATGGGCCAGGCCAAAATTTCAGTTATTTTGTTATTTTAGATTGTTTTTCAGCAGGCTTGACCATTACATGTAGGTTAATGTTAATATGCTGTTATTTAGTTGGTAATTCAATGATCATAAGTTAGTTTAAGTTTAGTGTCTATACTTTTTAATTACATTCCTAGATCTTTCATTCTTTTGACACTTTAAGTTTCTAATTAACAACTGTTTTTTTTTCCAGCTTCTACTTATCAGAAATAATATTGGCGTTAGAACACTTACACACTCAAGGAATCATTTATCGGTAAGTCATCATCAAAGTTTTAATTCTACTAATGATATTTACAAATTGAATCAATGTATAAAACATCTTTTACTATGTTTAGGTATTAACAGAAGGCTCAAGTTCATTATACAACTATATGTGTCAAATCATAGATAAAAGGAGTATAGACACAGATACCCCACAAGATAGGGAAGTCGCGAGAGCCTGGTTTGAGTACGAGCAGTCGCTGTTTTGGCGTTTGAGGCCCGCCGTGTTGCCAATTCGTGCAGTGCAGGTACCGGAAATTCCCCGTTTCCCACAGAGTATGATAGCAGTAGCATTGCACCGCAGCGTTCACAAACCAGCCAGCGGCCTGGCCCACAAACCTCACGTCTATGGGACTTATGTTTGTACCATCCGCTATATTTCACTCTGAATATATTTCTGTTATATTTCCAACTGTTTATGAAATATGTCTGATGAGTTTAAAAAGTAGGTCTACAATGTGCGTTAATGGTCGCAATGTTTTAAAAGCTACAATTTATTTAACATTAAGATGGCAATATAACATTTAAACATTAAAATATCAGTTTATCATGAGTTTGTTTTTACTAAAAATCTATAAAAATATTAAATACTTCTACGAATTTGAGAAAGTGAGAAACAAGGGCTAATATTTTAAATGTGGCTTACATAAATAAATAAAGGCCGAATATAAAATAGTTACTTTAGGTAGGAACTAAAGTTTAATAATCCATTTACAAATCCCAAAGTACCCATGAACTTTTAAGAAAACTACAAGTCACACCCCCTTAAACCATATGAAATAAATTTTGCTCCTTTTAATCAATTTTTTCTCCTACATTTTCAATTTTGAAGTTATCTATCATTGTACTTGTACAATTTTATTACAGTGAAGGTTTTTGTTTTTAACAAGGCTACTTTATTTTGAAACAGCAACTTAATATTTTAGTTCTCATGCTAGTTTTTAGTTGGTATAGTGTTATAGTTGGCTCAACGGTTGACTGGGCAGGTGACTGGGGCTTGGCCGATGCAATTTTTTAATAACTGTGATGATGACGGCGACGGCGACTTCCATTGTCTTGAGCTACATTCCACAGATCAATACATTAACTTTTTTAATTCTCATTTAAAGAGCCTGAAAATATTTCACAATAACATTAGAAGCTTTTCCAAAAAATTTGATGAGTTTTTAGTTAACTTAGATTCCTTTAATACCAGTCTAGACGTTATAATTTTTTCTGAGTGCTGGCTTGGCAGGGGAGAGGTGGGGGCGAACATCGACGGGTTTGACACTCACATGACTACCACTCAACGTAACCGCAATGATGGTATCATTGTGTTTACTAACAAATCACTAACAGCGACTGCACGACAAATCACCCTGGGGGACGTTCAGGGGTTATCACTGGACTTTGTGTACTGTAACAAGAACTTCAATTTACTTGCACTTTACAGAACATTCGACAGCAATCCAGTACAATTCACTAGTGAACTTGAGACTTACTATCAGAACATAGATAGAAACAAAATGTGCATTTTTATGGGTGACATGAATAAACCTTTTTAACAAGGATATACTAATTGACCTCTACTTAAACAGTTTACTTGGCTCCGGCCTTGTACAGTGTGTGGACAGACCGACTAGAGTTACACAGGACACTGCCTCCTGCATTGATCACATATTTGTACGTTACTGTGACATGACTGCTGTGCGCGCTGCTGTACTGCACACTAGCCTCACTGACACTATGCCACCGCCCTCACTATACACGACACTGCATACACTCACGCAGACACACTCACTGCAACCGGACCTTCTCAAACTTACCTTGATCACACCCTTCTCACTCAAAATCTCTCTCAGACCGACTGGGGACCTGTCCTAAACTGTCTAGATGTCAATCTGTGCTCCGAACTCTTTTACAAAAACCTTGAATTTTCTATAAAAAATTCAAAAAAACCAATAACTACAAGATTGTCTAGACGTAAGAGAATTAAACCGTGGATTACAGACAGTTTGGTCAAATCAATACGTACTAGAGACAAATTAAGTAAAGCTGCACTCCGTCAACCATTTAATGACAATCTACAAATTTATTACCGGAATTACAGACAAAACCTAAGCAGTCTATTAAAGAGAGCCATAATTTATTTTTGTAAAAAAAATACAACCGACTTCAAACGCTCTAAAAAGGATGAAATAATTTCAATAAAGTAAACTTTTGTATTAGGCAAGCTCACGTATTTTAAGTCGGCGCGGCTCTATGATGAGTTTTGATACAAAATTGAAAGAGGGTGTCCATATTGCAGGTGACTATCTATAACTAAAGGTGTTAATCTGCATGTATTTTTCATAGTTATGCGTTAAGTGTTATTTTATTACCGTAATCAGAGATCGGCATTATAGTGGTATTAACGAGTATCTTTAAAAATATTATAACGCATTTAAATGTTTCTAACATTGAAAAGTAACGTTTTAATACTAAACTAGCTTCTTTCCCTATCATAATATCAAACTAAATTATTTTCCTATTCATATAGAACATTTGTGTGTGTTATTTTCATAATGAATTTATTCTGAAGTAAACAAAAAATACAAGAAAATATTTTCTTTAATATATAAACAAAACAGTTCAGTGTTCTTTATCTATTTATGTTATCCAGCTAAAATTTATTTATTTTCAAAATACACACACAATATTTGATTTCAATCATATTTGCAGTTTGAGCCACGCCGACTTGAAATACGTGAGCTTGCCTAATAAAAAAGTTTACTTTATTGAAATTATTTCATCCTTTTTAGAGCGTTTGAAGTCGGTTGTATTTTTTTTACAAAAATAAATTATTTCATGATTTTTAGTGACTGTATAATTTTTTATATATTAATTACTTGAGGATTTTTTATAAGCAAAACTGTTTGAAACAATGAAAAGTTCCACAGAACAATCATTATTTTAAAACTGCTTGAGTCACCTGTTCAGGTTACATAATCAATGGGTATGAAAATAAACATCTTTAGATATTCCTTAAGAAAGAAAGAGTTGTCCATTACATTAGGCCTAATGAAAAACTAATTGTCTTTTCTAGATACATTGAAATGTCAGACATCATCGTTTCCTGCAATCGGTGTACTTCTACATTATAAAAAGAAATACAGTAACGTCTCAAGCCTTTTGGAACCATATGAAAGTTATTCCTCAGCTACTAGCACTAAAAAATCTCTCAAAAGTGGAAAATTGGTCGTTAACACCATAGTACCTTTCGTATAGTACCTTTGGAAAATATTATATGAAAGATTGGTTCAGCTAAAAGTGGTGCAAGCCATGTAAAACAATCAATTGGTTTTGTTTGATCAAGATATAGCCTAGTCGAAATTGCAAATCATCTTCCTCTAGGACTTTCCGAAGCAGGCATAATAGTATTGATATGTTATAGTAACTGGGTAGAGAATATTAATAAACATTCCACATCTGCAAATGAAATATGTATATGAAAGATTGGTTCAGCTAAAAGTGGTGCAAGCCATGTAGGTGGTTTTGTTTGACCAAGATATAGCCTAGTCGAAATTGCAAATCATCTTCCTCTAGGACTTTCCGAAGCAGGCATAATAGTATTGATATGATATGGTAACTGGGTAGAGAATATCAATAAACATTCCACATCTACAAATGCATGTTTAGTAATTAAAATATCTAACACTTTTAAGACAATTGACGATTATGCACTGTCACACTTCTTAGGTTGTGTAAGGAATAATTGCATTTGATTTATATTTAGACCTGTTTTGCAAATGCTTTGGTTTTCACAATACACCTTTATTTGTCAATATCATACAGCTATTCACTGAAACATATATGTTTTTGTAAGTCAGAATATTCAATACTAAAAACAGAATTACTGTATACACAAATCAGGTCAAACGTTAAAATACATTTTTTATAGTAACCAAAACAAAATGCATTTTTCTTAATGTAATTCATTTAGGCTCCATGGCAAGAAATAGTTTATTGATCAATATGAAGCAACTGTTTCATGAAGAATTGTCTGTAGCTTCATTTAAATGGTTTCAACTAACAGCTGTAGGAATCTTTATATTATTTATTGCCTTCTCTTCACAAATGTAAACAATCTGCACAAATGTAAACAAAGCAAATGTTGAATATTTAAGGTTTTCAGAATTTTTCACTTAAACAAATATTATACTTAAATATAATATATAAGGTACCAAATAGAAACTCTCCTGGTTATTTTGGTGGTGGAACCACACTGATCGGTAAAAGAATCACAGAGAAATTGGTGAACATACATGGAAAAAAAAAACATCGCCACAAACAAATTGAGAACCTCCTCCTTTTGTTGGTAGTGGGGAAGTCGGTTAACACATTCACTGCTAATGATATGTAATACTTTTATAAATGGCTAAAAAACATAAACATTAACATGATCATGTTAATTGAGTGACAATATATCTTTAATTAAATAAATTTTATACTATAAATTGTGGATTAAAATATATTATGTAATTATATACATCATGTATTATATATCTGCTAATATACTTATGACGCACAAGTGCGTCATTAGCAGTGAACGTGTTAAAAAGAGATTTTTACAGGGAAAGACTCAACCAGTACAGTCAAAATCCCAAATTATTTTGGGGACTGATCAATGATCTTGCTGGCAGATCATGTAATAAAAACTCATTTCCAAAATTGAAAAGTTCATTCCTAACATGTCTGATCATACGCAAGCCACAAAACATGTGATTGCAAATGATTTTAACAACTTCTTTGCTTCTGTTAGAGAAAATTTATCAAATCAGATAGATGCGGGCGGGACCCCGGTGGTTGTTGACTCTGACTACAGACTGGACTCTACTTTTACATTGAAAACTGTTTCTGCACAAGACGTACTACGTCATATCTCTGGGCTGCGTGGTGGCTCAGCTCCCGGTCTGGACAAGGTCTCGGCTGATTTACTCAAACAAAACGCACTCATAATTTACATTCCGCTGC